TGCTGCTATGAAGAAATACCCAGAACTGGGTAATTTATAAAGAAAAGAGGTTTAATTGCCTCACAGTTCCACATGTCTGGGGAGACCTCAGGAAACATACAATCATGGTGGAAGGCACCTCTTCACAGGGTGGTAGGAAAGAGAATGAGTGCAAGCAGGGGAAACGCCAGACACTTATAAACCCATCAACTCTCATAAGACTCACTCACTATCACAGAACAGCATGGAGGAAACTGCTGCCATGATCCAATTACCTCCACCTGGTCCTGCCCTTGACACATGGGGATTATGGGGACTACAATTCAAGGTGAGATTTGGATGGGGACACAGAGTCAAAACATATCACTGCCTGTCTTCTTTCTTATCAGGAGTTTTTATGCATTGAAAGAATTTCCTTGGGTAAGTTCTGAGTTTTCTGGATAGAATATGGTGAACATGGCCCTTTGGATCCTATGATTCATAGCAATATAAGAAGCTGGAATCCTTTCTAGAGTACTTTTTCTTAGGAAAGCCTTAGGACTTTCTGAACACTTTCAAACATATCTTAAAACAATGTATTTACATTTTTAAAAACCCACAAAGTTACAGAAATACAAAAATACACACCTACTATTTTTTTCTCATCTCTGTATCCCAATTATTATGAGTACTAGCCTCTATCAACTCAAAAACTGGCCAAAGAAAGGATGAAAGTTTGAAAATCCAGGAAGTTAAAATGTACCCAGGACACTGCTGTGAGATTCCAGTGCAGTGATGTCCTGGTAGGAACAGAACAAGTCACCTTTCAGGCAGGTGCCCTTTACTCTCACATGTTGACAATGGCTCATTCTCTGTTTGCATCCATTTCTGCTTTGCAGCCTCAATCCAGGCAGGGACAAGGGACATGTGGCCCTGGGTGTTATTTGATGTGTGGTGTGTGTGTACTTCCTTCTCTTGATTTGGCTCTGTTTAATGTGAACTAAAGTGCCCTACTGTTCACATCAGGGTAGGAATCCTATTGGCTCTCAGAACCTTCTAGAGTAGCCACTATATGACTTCAATAAAAAAGCATTTGACTTTAACTAATTATAACCCTGCTCCAGGCTAATTTGTGACCCACATCTCATAGTAAACATTTCTCTCACTCTAACCTTGAAAGGCGACTAAACTGGGACAGTTTTACCCGCAGAGTTTAATCAGGTCTCTATTCTAAAGACAAAGTGTTTAGAAACCTGGATAAATTTCATATACGTGTGTTTGTAAATTTTCTTCTTCATAAAATATTTGTCTTTAAAGATAGACTGAAATTTGACCAGATTCTAATTGGATTTACACTCCCTACTTTCCTTGAGAAACACTCTTTTCTACATAGTAATGGGTTGAACTATTTCCCATTCAAGTATTCACTTATCCACTCTGCATGAAGCAAGTATTTCATGAGTGCTTGTTATGTCCCAGGCACAGAATATACAGATGCAAAATACAGATAGGGTCTCTGTTGTCATAGGAAGGGAAAAACATACTAAATAATTAGAGACAAAATTAATAGTTCAGTTCTAATTTTGGAAAAATAAATGAGAGGCACAATGAGAGTGTCTGTGCATGGAGTCTGCGTATCTGAGAGCTCTTGGAGGGCTTCCCTGAGAAAATGAAGCTGAGGCTAAGATTTTAAGGATGACTAAGTACTGACTATGCAAACTGGGGTAGTAGGAGAAGGAACACTCAGGCCAAGAGGAAATAATATGAAAAGGATAAGATGGAAAGAAGCAAAGAAAATTCAAAGAACCTTCATAAGGAAGACGGGTGAGACATATTATCGCCATGTTATGGATCCATTTGTTTTCACTAAAGCTTTACTAATCAGCTTTTATACACAAGGCCCTGTGCCATGGGCTGGTGGTACAACAGAGAGTAGAAACTGCACCCTCTCACAGCTTGTATTTTGGTGGCAATTACGATGCTAGAGATAGGTGCTCTAACAAGAGCAGGAAAGAGAAACAACTTCTAACTCAGACTGAGAGGTCAGCAAACTAGAAGTGATGTCAATGCTGGTACCTGAAGAATGGGAGGCATTAATGAGACATATGTAGTAGTGGAAGTGTGGGGTTGATGGAATGAAGAGTGAATTTGAAGGCCAGAGACTAGAGAGAGAGAGACAAACAGGAAAGATGTATTTGGGGAACTAAAATAAGCATAAGTATGAAGATGGAAGTAAAGAGGGATGATGTGAATGTTTCAGTTTCTTCATCTACTACATAAGGGAGTTGGACCACATTTTTTCTAGATCATAGATTTTGTGATACTATTTTAAATCCCTCATGTATACTAGGTAAAGATTGAGAGGTTGTTAATAAGTTTTTGAGGCCACAGAGATAAGCAGTGACAAAGCTCATTTAGTCTGTCAGTTGAATGCACATAAAAGTCACAAAAAACTGCTTTTGATTAGAAGCAATAATACTGACCTGATTTTTTTTTCCACAAAAATTTGAACACTTTTTTATGTAAGAAACTAAACTGACCTTATTGCAAATATGAATTCTTCCCTCCTTCCACTACTTTTTACTGAAGAGTCTTCATTTTTCTCTTTAGATTGAGCCCAGAGTGGACTCAAGTTCTGCAGGGTGTCCAGGCAGTGCCATGATGACTTGCCACTTGTGTCAGAAAAATAAGTTGATTGACATTGTGCAGATTTAATAAGCAAGTGGTTGATTTCCTGGGATTTAGAAAGTTGTCGTTAATGAATAAAACACCAATGTCAGGCTCAGATAACAGAGAGAGTGTGCTGTTGCCTTTACCAAGAAGAATTTGGCAACAGATTCCTATTCCCAAAGTGTTCTTTGAAATGGACAACCTTACATTAGCAGATAAAATAATGTCCTATGTTCAGAATAATTTTAAGTTTTATGAAACTTTTATACAAAAACCTGATTCATGTGTCATCCGCTCAGACTTATGTATGAAACAGGAACATGTTAGCCAAAATATGGAAATTGCTACTTAGATATCCACTCTGCTGGAGATCTAAAAGATAACAAGTTCCTGAGGGTTTCCCTGGAAGGGACATGAGGAAACTGAGACAGGAAAAACCAGAGTTAGGTCTCAGTTGAAGTCCGACATTGTTCTCTGAAGATACCATCCTAATATACAGCTGTTGCCTAAAATGTTGACCAAAAATTGGGAATTATTACATTTTCAGACACTGAATAATTTTTCAGAAATTACGCGGAATATCTCCTTTGACCTAAAAGGTATCTTTCACTTGGAAATTCTGGTTATTACACCTCTCACAGGGTGAGAGGTAGATATTTGAGAAAACGAACAAAACTAGAGAGAGTGAAAGGTTAAATTTCTTTAGTATAGAAGTGGGGCAAACTCAGGAAGACATGAATGAAATGAATACAATTATGGGCAACAATTTAGCCTGGGTTTAGAAACTGCTGACCCAATTGCATATGGTGTACCCTTGAAATTTGAGTAAAGGAAGATTAGGACAATTACATTGAACAGAAATACTACTAGGAGGTAATGGACGTTGGAACCTACTTGAAGAGGTCATGGAGATAGTACACAGAAATGGAAAAGTTTCCAGCTCTACTTAAGTATGAGCTGAGAAACATACAATATTTCTGGTTGGCATCGTATCATATCTTCTGTCATCATAAGTCTTACGGTCCTCTTGGACACAGGCTGTATGCTCCAGTGAACAATGACCTAGTTCCAGTTGGTCATTGTTTTTGTCCCAGTGACCCTATGTTGCTTAGCACATTCATTGACCTCAATCAATATGTCTTGATGATCATTAGGGATTTTAATTATACAGGGTAATGATTTCTTGTTCTTGCTCTATTATCACACTAATGATAAATGCTATCCTTAATTGACCACATGCTATTGTATCATATTCTGTTCTCAGTAGATTTTATAGAACGAGTTTAATTTGGATATAAACCCTGTGGTTACTATCATATGCTATGATACTTTTCATATGCCTATTGAAAGATGAGTAATCTAAGAAACAAATACATTAATTAACTTTCTCAGTGTCTCACAGTAACTTAATGATGTGGCCAGGATTTAAACTTCAGCAGTCTGACTCCAGAGCTTGTACTTAACCAGTCTATTTCTACCGCTACTATGGACAAAATACCGCTACTATGGACAAAATTGGAGAAGTGGCTCAGAAATATTTAGCAATATCCACTCACTTGCTAGCCCAGTGACTCTGACCATTTTTGTCTTTGGAGCCAAATTAGATGTGTTCTATTCTATATTGCATTCTCCTGTTAGGAAAAGAGAAGTGGAAAGATGACTGAATGGAAAAGAATGGAGTCTTTTGATTGAAATCCTGAATGTTTTCCTTTCCTACAGCCTATGTTGACACATTCTATTTGTTTTACCCCAAACTAGGAGTTCCTGTAGGCAAAGCTTCAGAGAGAGTACATTTGGTTTATAGCTGCTTCTTCCTATATAGATAGGTGGCCAAATATATACGCAAAGGGCCGACCTGGAGTGGAACCACTTTGGAATTGTTTGCTCAGAAAATATACTACTAAAGAGTCCCACAGAAAGGGAGTGGGGGAAATGAGGTGCCAAGCAGAGCTCTCATAGCTTTCCATTGAGCAGTGACTTGGGTAGTTTACTAAGAGATGTCTGCTGTATTTCTATTTTCTAAGCAGGACCCCAAGTCAATATCTTTCCTATCAAGCAAAGGCAACCAGTAAGATAACAGGCGTTTATAGAATTAACACAGAAGCAGGCTATGTTCCTCCTGCCCACTCTCACAGGCACTCTTTTGGCAAAAGCAGACAGACAGACAGACACACACACACACACACACGCATGCACACACGTAGTTTTTTCTCAATTTACCAAGAAAACTGCCAAGAGCAAGCAACTTGTGTATCAATCTGATTTTTTCATTCCTGGTCAATTATAAGAAATGTGGCTATTTCTTCCCTGTAATTTAATAACTTGACATTTTTCTCTTTTTCTCTTTCTCTCTCTCTTTTTTGTAATCACAGCAGAATCTAAGAAGAAGAAAAAGGAAGGCAAGAAACAGGAGAAGATGCTGGATTAAAAGATGTCACCTGTGGAATATAAAAAGGACATCAGCAAACAGGATCAGTTAACTATTGCATTTATATGTACCGTAGGCTTTTTATTCAAAAATTATCTATAGCTAAGTACACAATAAGCAAAAACAAAAAGAAAAGAAAATTTTTGTAGTAGTGTTTTTTAAATGTATACTATAGTACCACTAGGGGCTTATAATAAAGGACTGTAATCTTATTTAGGAAGTTGACTTATAGTACATGATAAATGATAGACAACTGAGGTAAGTTTTTTGAAGTTATGTGACATTTTACATTAAAATTTTTTTTTTACAGTTTTTGGGCAACAATTTAAATGTTACGACTATGTAAACTACTTCTCTTGTTAGGTAATTTTTTTCACCTAGACTTTTTTCCCAATTGAGAAAAATATATACTAAACAAAATAGCAATAAAACATAATCACTCTATTTGAAGAAACTATCTTGTTTTCTGCCAATAGATTTTTAAAAATGTAATCAGCACAATGGGGGTGGGGAAGCAGAGCATGCCCTAGTTCAATGTTGACTTTTTTTTTTTTTTTTTAAAGAAAAGCATTAAAACATAAAATTCTCTCACTTTGGCAGAAGAATTTGTTTTCTTGATGAAATTATTTTTCCATCTGAGGAAAAAAATACTAGGAAAATAAATCAAGGTGATGCTGAAAAAAATTTGCTTTTGTGTTCAATAATGTGATTTTTGTAACCCTACTCCTTTAGTCATTTATACTCCCCCAGTCAACTTTTTATCACAGAGAAATTGTCATACAAACTAGCTAAGTCACTCTTGGGCACAAATGTCACACAGTTTTTTTGTACTTTCTATCAGTAATTAATAGGTTAAATTGGTACTACTGAATTCAACAAAAGTTTCACAATAGTCTAGGGTTTGGTGGAGCAGGAAAACGCTCTTACAGTGGATATATTTGGGTTCGCACCAGTCCAAATCAGGATCACTGTAATGATGTGCAAAATGGTAGTTTGGGCTTAGTTTCTATAAACCAAAAATCTTCACTTTTTTACATGCCATGAGTGCCAAAGGCAATCTGTATAACTTCCTTATCTGTTGGTCTTTAAGCACAATTTTTAAGTAAACAAGTCTGTTCTCCTATTATTCAGGGAATAATAGAAAATTCTCTGGGATTATCTTTAAAGTGTTTCTCTTGACATACTCTTTAATTCTAAAGTGATAAGACTCAATAAACAAACACCAATCTACCGAGATAATTGCCAAGTCCATTTTGGGGAAATGATGATTTCAGCCTACCCTGGGCTAACTATAAAATACACAATTACATGCTGGTCTAATGATGCAGCCAAAGGGTCTTAGCAGCTAAACTACTTTTGCCATCTAGCCTATGACTCTACTTGAGCTAGGAATGTTGAGCAGATCCATTTCTTCCTTCTACATTAAAGCCACCTGTCAGTGGGGAATAGAAAAAAAGGAGGAACTTCCAGGCATTTTATGGACTGGTGCTTAATAAAAAGAGTGCCTTGTAAAGTGCAAATGATAGAAACACGAATAGTAAATGTAGTCCTTTTATAAGCTGACCTTAATTGGAAAAAGTACTCATGGGGACGGATGGAAGAGAAGAAAGAAAGGCAGTGTCTTGAGTGGATTTTTTGACAGCAAACTCCCAAAAGGATGGGAGGATGGAAGAGCCCCTTGCAAATTTTGATAACCTCTCAGCTAACATTGCTTCTCTAACACTTTTAGCCAAAAGCAGCAACCTGTGAATCAGTAATGAGTTAAAGTGAACTAGAACTAAATCTCCCAAGGGAAAAACAGTCCTGTAAATAACTGTGGCATACTCCTTTATTCACAGGGCATGGCAGGAAGCCAAAAGTGAAAGATTTCTCTGCTGTGTCAACTATGATACTTAGCAAGCCCTAGAATAGCTTCCTGATTCTCCCCTAAAGCAAAGATTGGTATGCTAAGCTCCCTTATATAGAGTGTGAAATTCAACATCCCTTAAGTCTCAAGAATTATTCTACCCCAGCCTCAGCTTTGAACATCTTGTTAAGTCACACTGAAGTGTTGAAACATAAATGCAAAAGGACAAGCTCTCCACATCTCTGATTCTCACAAATAGGAAAAAATAGACCGTCATCGGGCACTTCACAGTGTTCTCGAGCAAGCTCTCTGTTCTGGGCTTTATAAACTTCACCCTAAAGTTCATTAAGCCTTGAAGAAGGGAAGGAAAAATGCAAAGAAGTCATCTGTGTTCCTTTACATGGCCTTAGGGGGAAGACAAACTTTCTGTCCAATAATTGAGAGGGTAAAAAGCAACTTTACCAAGATGCAGGCAAAAACAAATCTTCCCTGATGAGAAAGTGTCCTCATTCAGCTCAGAGTTGGTATCTCTCACACTTGTTCTCTGATAGACTTTCTAATTTATTCAGGATATATGAATGCTGTCACATTCTTCTATATATAGGTTGTGAAGAAGAGGATCTTGGATAGACATTTTGACTTCATATATTCCTGGAATGACGTATTAACATCTTCTTAACTTAGTAGAAGTGGAACTCAACCAGAGTTTGAAGCTCTAAATAATTTTAAAGAGAATTTCTCCTAAATTGGGAAGATGTGGGTATGAAAAAAATTGAATAATTATACTTGACCATGAGAAATCTCATTGAGAAAGAAAAGGCTATACTTCTTTTCCATTGAGGAGACAGATACTTCTTTAAGAATAAGAGATACAGATCTTTTTTTTTTTTCTTCTGTAACATCTATTGGCTCCATAATTCTGAAAGTCTTAAATGAATTATTATATAATTTCCTTAAGTGAATAACAGAGGTAAATAGGCTATAGAAAGCAGTGAAAAAGGAAATAGAAAATACTGTCTTTTGCAAATTGAATTATTTTAAAGTAGTTTCCAAATATAAAAATTAGAACTTTATCTACATTGAGTCATGGGGTTTTCTAACAGAGTGAAGCAAAGGGACTTTCTTTTCATTAACCTTTCCAAAAATAATAAGGCAGATCAATATCCTTGGATGTAGAATATCAAAGCATTCAAGCTACTTTTTAAACAGTGATAAGAGTCTTGGAATACATTAATATAAGAAGAAAAGGGCATAATGTTATTCTAAGCATCCAGCAAGGAATGCCTGCTTCAAAATTTGCACTCTATTTTTACCAGAAATAAAATATATGGAGCATTTTTAATCAGAGGAAAACATGTCTTACTTACTCTTAGAAACGCACCTGTCCTCTACTGTTTCTGTTCTTCCCAATCCTTTGTTCTTCTAAGCAGAGAAACAGAAGGAAGTAAAAAAGTTTCATCCTGTTGGGGTCACAGGTAAAATAATGTAATTCATAAGCATTCCAGTACTCATTAGAAAAGCAGACCTACTTTAAAAACTATTATTATTTAAAAAGAAAAATAAAGAATTAGCTCCCAACGTTTAATTTTTGTAAAGCCATTTTTTAAAAAAAAACGAAACCATGACAGGCAGAACATTGATGTATTTCTTACACAGGTATTTATTACAATGATTGTATTAAGTTACTCATGGGGTTGGCTAAAGAGGTTTATATGTAGATTATCACTTCATATTTTCTTTTGTTCTTTGAAAATGTGCATGGAAGCCATATTATACCTTATTAGAGAATGAAAACATGAAAAATCTTGACCATCCTATCCCTGAACTCCTGGGATAACTTAGAGAACACATAGAGATTGTATCCACACATTCAACTTGCTCTTAGTGGAGATACAGATGTTACATAAGATAAATAATCACAGAGAATAATTTTTTCCCTTTTTTGATTGTTTGATTGTCAGATCCATCAAACATAGGGCAAAACTTCAATTATCTTTGTTTATGAGATTCTTGGATAATTACATGAATGCATCCCTTACTGTGAATAATCAACAGATTGAAATATTTGCAATGAATGACATGAATTTTAGACTTCTAAATCCTAAAAGTTGCATGCTTTTAAGGTAGTCATTTTTGCCTGATAATCTTTCTGTTCAAAAAAAAATGTACCACACTATTTTTTAAAGAACATGAATGTAAATTAAACTGCTTTTGAAGACTTATTCCTGTCACCATGAGTATCAGGTTATTATTTTTTGTTATCATGGCAGTTGTAGTTGTAAATATCTTCTTGTGTGTTCCTCATGGATCATAGGATTGAATGAATACTCCACCAGGATGTAACCTTGGACTCAATTTGAGGGAGCAAAAAACTAGCAACAAGACTCTTCAGAATGAAAGTATCTTCTTTTAAATTTTGTCTCTTAATGAAGATGGAATAAAGTATATACTACTCTCTGAGCTATTGGATAGTATCACGTGGTGACTTTTATAAAGAAATATACAATTAAATTTCAGGATTAAGCAAACATTTTTTTCCTGGCCTTTTAGAAAAAATAATGCTTGCTGTCCTTATCCTTGGACTTGTCAGATATATTCAAGCATTATCTATTATTTCTACATCAGCAACCACTGGTATTATGAGCAATCTCTGCCTTTTTCAACCTACATTTTATCTCACTTGTATTTCACATGTTGATTGGATATGAAGGAGCACTACTAAGCATTGATCATTTTGAGAACAAATAGAAATTATTAGTTATCATAATAAAACTTCTTTAATAGAAAAATGTACCATCATTGTTCGTAAATTAGCATTTTTGTTTTAATGCCATACCATTGAAAAATGAACATTTTTTTAATATCATGAAGATAGAAGGTCCATATACAACCTACAACATGGAGAAACTTCCCTACGAAAATTATTTTGTAAGCTGGGCGTGGTGGCTCACGCCTGTAATCCCAGCACTTTGGGAGGCCGAGGAGGGTGGGTCATGAGGTCAGGAGATCAAGATCATCCTGGCTAACTCGGTGAAACCCTGTCTCTACTAAAAATACGAAAAATTAGCCCGGCATGGTGGAGGGCGCCTGTAGTCCCAGCTACTCGGGAGACTGAGGCAGGAGAACAGCATGAACCCGGGAGGCAGAGCTTGCAGTGAGCTGAGATGGTGCCACTGCACTCCAGCCTGGGCGACAGAGCACGACTGCGTCTCAAAAAAAAAGAAGAGAAAATTATTTTGTAATAATACACCCTATTTTGAAAATAAGGCTAGATCCATTATATAAGGCTAGATGCATTATAATATTATAGCATTATAAAGTAAGATAAAGTTAAAAATACTAAAGGGCCTGACTAGTCCTTGTGTTTAATTATTTCAGCGATATACTCAAATATTCAATGAATTACAATTATCTTCATAATGTGATGTTAGGCACTCTGGGAAGAAAACAACTAAAATTTAGAATTCCTAGCTCCCAAACTAATTTATATGTAGATCCTGAATATACAAAGATTTGTTTTTAATTAAAAGAAAGAGTTTGTAATGTAAAATAGTAGAAATATAAAATAATAGAAATGATTAGGATTGGGCAAGACCCATGAATTTCAAAGAAATCACTGGGCTAGAGTAATTAGAAAATTCATAAAGAACTCAGGGTTGATATTTCCCTTGAAGGATGGACTGGATTTGGTGGAGGATAAAAGGGGCATTTTAAGAGTAAAGATATGAAAACGGTGCAGTTATACATGTTAGCAGCATACAACGTTTATTTAGTATAGCTAAGCTGATTTACTTAAAGTTTAAGGTAGTTTCTTTACAACATTTTCTACCATCATGTA